CTAACTCAAGATTGTGCGTCAAATAATTCATCTCATGAGGCTTCAACTGTTGCGACGCATAAGCAATCACCTTACCATTCTGCATCAACACACAGCCTAATCCATTCAAGGAAGCATCATTATAAATCTCAAAGTTACCACCGTCATCTGGAAGTGTCAAAACAAGTGCATAAGTGAGACAATACTTAAGCTGCTGGAAACTCTGTTCACAATTATCATCCCACTCGAATTTAACATCTTCCCTCGTCAACTTCATTAGTTTGGTATCAGAGCCTAGGTTTCACAGTCCTGTAAATACTTGTGAGTATACTAATTATTTGATGTCTTATGTCAGAACTATGTCACCTCGTAGAGAACCACGTACTTTAGCTAAGTTTAGTTTTCCCGATATTACCAACTTGGGGAAGCTATTGCTAATGTTATTCAATCATCTTCGAGAGCTCACAAGACGCAGAGTTTTAAGAGAGGTGGTACTAGTTCTAGTTCTTCTAGTGGGGGTTTGAGTGTCATTGCATTGCGGAGGGGCAGCCGTTCAGGCGATTCCGCTTTTAGGGACATAGAGATTCTAGCAGTTCTGGTGGTCCATTTTGCCTTAGATGTAACAGTCAACATTTTGGGGAGTGCAGGCATGGTAAAAAATGATGTTTTACTTGTGGCCAGATGGGACATTGGGCTATTCAGTGCCTACAGAACCAACAGAAATCCCAACCATCTGCCTGCCACCACCAGTTCCTATCCAGCAGATTCTAAGGTCTAGTGGTTATAACCAGACGGGTTATGGTGGAGCATATCATTATCAGGGAGATATAGCCCTATATTCTGGAGGACCGTATCAGTACCCACACGATTCGTATCAGTAGAGCGGTTACGCTTAGTATTCAGGAGGTTATGCACCATATCCAGCTAGTGGATCACAGTGGTATTTCGGGGGACCATCATAGAATGTTGAAGTTGCTTCCAGCAATGCCATATCATCAAGGTAGCTTAACTAGCCTGGTTAAGGACGAGGTACAAGGGGATATAGAAACCAAGGTAACAGAGGTCGTGAAGGACGACAGCAAACACAGGGCCGTGTTTATCATATTACTCTGTAGGATGTTTAGAACAATCCCAATTTGATTATGGGTACGTTAAATATTCTTGGCCATTTTGCTAGAGTATTAATTGATTCTGGGGGTACACACTCTATTATTTCTTGTACGTTTGCTCAGACTTGATTGTAAGATCCCACATCACCCAAGGGTGCAAATCCTGTAAGCCTTATATGTATATTCCCATCTCTACCTAGCACGAGGCCTTTTGGGAGCTCATTGGCTTCAGGTTCCGTAGGAACTCCGAAGTTAAGCGAGATTGCACGAGAGCAATCCCAGGATGGGTGATCTACTGGGAAGTTTTTGTGTGAGTTCCCAGAAACAAAACTGTAAGGGCGTGGTTGGGGCCCAAAGCGGACAATATCGTGCTACAGTGGAGTCAAGCCTAGGATGTGGTGGGGGCCCGGGCCGGGATGTGACCATTTGGTATCAGAGTTAATCCTTGGACGAAAGTGTGCTGACGAGGACGTCGAGCCCATAATGGGGGTGGATTGTATGATCCCACAACGCCCAGGGGTGAGTATCCTGTAAGCCTTATATGTATATTATCATCTCTACCTAGCACGAGGCTTTTTGGGAGCTCACTGGCTTCGGGTTCCGTAGGAACTCCGAAGTTAAGCGAAACCGCTCGAGACCAATCCCAGGATGCGTGACCCACTGAGAAGTTCTTGTGTGAGTTCCCAGAAACAAAATCGTGAGGGCGTGGTTGGGCCCCAAAACGGACAATATTGTGCTACGATGAAGTCGAGTCCGGGATGTGGTGGGGGCCCAGGCCGGGATGTGACAGTTTTGTATTATTATTCAATATAAGTTTAAAAAAAAAAAAAGTTTTGGTCATTATTTATTTTTATTATGAGAGCTCCTTATTATCATTACTAGGATAAATTTTACTTAACATGTTGTCCAAAATTAAAATAAACTAGTATAGTATTTGTATAGGTTACTAAGAAGACATACATACAATACACGTATGAAAAATGTGAAAAATATATATACACTCGTGATTCATCATTATTCCTCCACGAGTAGATAATGGTTACATTTAACTTATCATTTAGATTTTTAAAATCCTCCAAACCCTCATGAATAACTTTTTTTATTTGAGGGCAAAATTAATAAAATTAATAATAATTATTGTAGAAGTGTAAAAAATGTAAAAAAAAATATGCAATCATTCATAATAACAAACTTTACAACTTTCATGAAGGGGTCAGCTTCGAAATCCAACACTATAATTCATAAACCTTAAATTTATATTTAACCATCGATTGTCATTTACACTTTATTCTTGTTACTGAATTTCATTTTAAAAATTTTCTTTTTTGAAAACATGATCATCTGGCGGATGTAAGAAGAGGAACGGTTTAGATCTTTGATATCACGTTTCGATATTTACGGTTAACTGAAATATGAGTCAACGTCATATAATTTGTAGAAACTTTATAAACATCAAGCAATATTTTCACTAACCGTAAAACTCTGAATATAATATCAATGATCCAAACCATTCATCTTCTTGCATCCTCTAATAGATCATGTTTTCAAAAAAGAAAATCTGAAAAAAAATAAAATTTGATGAGAAAAATGAAGCGTAAATGTAAACAACAATCAATAGTTAAATTTTGATCTATGATTTATATGATTATAGTGACGAATTTCGAAGTTAAGTTCTTTATAAAAGTTGTAAAGCTTATCATTACGAGCATTTATATATATTTTTTCTATATTTTTTTACACTTCTACATTTATTAAAAAACTATTAAAGACTTTACTTAAATAACAGTCGTAAGATAAATGAGAGTAAATCTGTACTGTTGGATTCTATTTCACTTATATTATTAGAAATTTTTGGGACAAAAAAACCCCTTGTATTTTCCAATTTTACCATTTGATCTGATCAAAAATTCAAAACAAAAGCCAGCCCTAAGACCATCTCCAATGGTGACCTAAAACCTAAATTTTCCCTTTTTTTTCCCCCCCAAATCCACTCCAACCTAAAACCTAAACTAAACCTAAAACCTAAAACCTAAAAGGAAGGCAAATACCAGCCACAATTTAGCCCACAAATTCAAGTGGGACCCACGGATGAGAGTGAAATCTGGGCTGTGAAGCCCACACCCCAAAACCCACTCGCCCAATGCACTACACGCGCCAAGGACCTTTCCAGCCGAGGCCCACCCACGTGGGGCTGTCCCCCTTGTGTGTCAACATCACTATAGCCCAACAGCTACTTTTCTTCATCCAACGACCAGTTTAATTGGACCGTTGGTTAATCCAACGGTCCACGTTCAATTTTTTTTTTATATTTATATATTTATTGAATCCAACGGCTTAGATCGAATATAATCAAATCTAACGGTCCAAATTTAAATCCAACGGCTAAATTAATTTAAAAAAATTATTTAACTTAAAATTCAACCAAAAACTTTATAAATACCTATGTATTTGTTCAAACATCCACACAAAACTCACTTTTCCCCTACAATTCTTCCAATTTTTCTTTCTACCATTTCTTCTCATTTCCAAAATTTTCAAGATGGCAAAAGAGCATGTTAGAGGTTGTAATTGGACCTTTGACGAAGATATTGCTTTATGTTTGCCATGGATTTCGGTTAGCGAAGATGGTGCTGTCGGCACCAATCAAAATAGAAAGGTTTTGTGGGGTAAAATCATTGATAAGTTCCATGAAAACTCCAACGCCGGTCGAAGGGAAGTTGGTGGTGTTTATGATCGGTGCAAGATTATCAACAAAGCGTGCACTTTGTGGAAGGGAAGCTTGGAGAGAGCCATGGTTGACATGGGTAGTGGAATGGGCGCCTCAGAAATTGTGAGTTTATTTGTTGATATTTTAGTTGTCATGTACATAATAGTATTTTGCAACTAATTATTGTTATGTATTTGTTGCATAGGGTGACAAAGCAATGACAATTTACAAGACAAGAACTACACCAAAAAATCAAGCTTTTAAGTTGCATCATGCTTGGAACATCCTCAAGGATTGTCCGAGGTGGGGAACCGATGCGAACCAACAATGTGGAAGATTATTTCATAGTGAAGTCCCACCCCCAAATGATGTTAATGAAGGTGTGAATTTTGCCGACAATGAAGGTGTCGAACAAATGACCCCAACTTCTTCTTTTGCAAGGCCCCCGGGTAGAGAAAAGCAAAAGGAAGCAAAGAGAAAAGGGAAGTCCTAAGATCCGACACGTGCCCAATTTGCTAGCGAAATGGCAATAATGAACGAAAACCAGTGCCGTCAACAATCGGCCCAAATGCTTTTGGCCATGAAGGAAGAAGGGGATAGGGAGCAAGAAAGGTACGAAACTAATTTGATAATGGAGGACCTCAACAAATACACTCTAGAGAGAAAGAGATACTTACGTGGTAAGCAAAATGAAATTTTACGAAGGAATGCCACAAGGAGTATATTTCAAGATGATGATTCATCTCAAGACTATCACCCAAGTCCATCACCAAGTTAAGATGGTGAATATCATTATTAAGTTTATGTAGTCTATGAGTTTTCGATTGTATTAAGTTTATGTAGTTTATTAATTGTTTTTTTTATTTTTTAAGTTTTTGTGGTTTATTAAATGTTGTTGGTATTAAGTTTATGTGGTTTATCTTGATTTTCATGTATTGATTTAGTGATTTTTCAAAATTTATCGGAATTTAAATATTTTTAGGTTAAAATGTTCATAAAATTAATTTAGGATAGTCTACATAAAATTTTTTTTAAAAAAAAAAAGTTAATTTAAAAAAAATAGCCTTAATTCATTCTTTGATAATCTGGGGCTAAAATTTTAAGCCAGAAGGGTTAGAGTAGAAAAGCTGTTTCTGGGCTTAAACCTAAATTTTATAGGTTAAATATTTTTAGGTTTTAGGTCACCATTGAAGATGGTCTAAGCCCTTTCTATCTCCCCCACTCCCATAACACTCTCTCTGGCCTTGCCGCCTGTTCTTCGTAGCCCCTCTCTCGCGCCATATGTTCTTCCGGTAGCCTTTCTCAGTATCTCTTTTCTCCTCCCTCATGCAGTGGATGCCTGGACGGAATCATTCTTGATCTTGTCATCTCTGCTCGTCTCTACATCTCTGCATTCTCCAGATTCCCCTCCAGGTTCAATTTTGTTTCTACATCTCTACATCTCTGTTCTTTTCATTTGTTTAATGTTGTATCTTCATAAATCTTATGTTTTTGTTTCTTATTTTTCATTCGAAATTATGAATTTTCATTTCTTGAAAAAAAACCCATGTTTTGTTTTTAAAATATGACAATCTCTGATTAGTTCCAACATGCAGTGATTTAACTTTGGATTATATGACTTGTTAACTGATATGGGGATTCTGGATTTTAGCTACTGATATCTGATTTACTTTTTCTGTTGAAATCTGCTCAGGCGGTATTTGAGTTTCTGCATTTCGTTTGCTGAGTTTGTGTTTAGTGCTTGTTAAGTACAAGATGTGCACCCTGTTGCTTGATGTAAATTTGTTTTAAACACAAGTGTTTTACCAGTCTCACAGTCTTGTGTTGGACCAATTTGGCACCTCTCCTTGCATAGTAGCTCGTTTGGTTTTATCAGTATCATACTTATCCCCTTATTTGGTTTTTCATTCCAGAGATTTCTTCTTTCTATGAGTACATTTTTCATGAATTACATAGCTGTTATGTGGTCAATCTGAAATGAAGCAGCACAACATTATAGTGCTGTTATATTTTGTTTGCCTATGGATATTGATCTTTAAACATTTACCTTATATGCGGTATTGAATTGGAAAACCATAACAAGGTCAGGTTTGCGTTGCATGCCCCAGACCTAGAGTCCCGTTTGTGTCATAAACTGAAGAATTTTGTGACATTTTTCTCGTGCCATCTTTTTTGATTTGACGTCTCTTCATTCATACGATGTGAACTCAATCTATTGTCCTATTTTTTTAACAGGGAGACTTCTATAATTATTCGGGATGCGGTAACACATTCAATTGCAACCATCATGTTGTGCGCCAGTTTATTGTAGACTGCTTGAGGTAGAATTTCCTGAGTGTTCATTCTCAATTTTATCAGATGGAATTTCTTATCATTTGAAATATGCATTGGTGAATTTGATGTAGAACCTATTTATAGCTCCCTGAGATAATCTGCATTGCATAATTACATTGTGAGCTCTGAGATCTAAAGTTGTGTAATAGTCATGTAATAGTGTCATTCCATAACCCAAGTGTGCTTCTGAATCATGTCATTGTCTCTATATGATAATCTCCCTCTGTAATTAATAATTATTATGGAAGGAACTAGCAAATTGTTGTTCTTATAAGCTCAGTTATTCCATGTTTCTGAAAGAGAAAAAATTTGTTCATAGTTGAAAACTCATATGCTAGTTCGCTATATATTCCTTTTATATTTTATAAGTGCTTTGATAAGATATTGGGCACCATATCAGTGTGATGTCTTGCCACTGCTATATCTGAATGAATCTTGCCCACTTTTTCTTCTTGTTGTTGTTTGTTTTCTATCTTCACTTCTATCATTTTTCTGAAAATAAATGGTCCTTGAAATTCATTTAAGTTAGTAGTAGTTGGTGCCTTGAAAAAAATTTAGTCTGCAATTTTAAATAAATTTTCCTTAACAGGTAACGGGTCGAGTCATATTACCCGTTAATATTATCGGGTCGGATCATTTTACCTGTTTATTTTAACGGGTGTTACCAATACGACCCATTAAGATATCGGATATGACACGAAAACAACACGAACACGGGAAACATGACACGAATGCCAGGTTTATCTGCAGACAAAAATAATACAACTACACGCATAAGTAATTTCATTATATTCAAAAACAACCATGATCGAAATTCTGAATCCTAGACGAATTGAGAGGCTCTGATACCACATGTAAGAGGTAATTGAAAAACAACAAGTTACTAGGATCATAGATAAAACATAAAATGATTACAATAAACCAATCAAACAATTAAGGGAAATAAACTTATCTTCCAAAGAGAAGGAAGAAGACGCCATGACTGCTAGGGTTTCAAAATGAGTCTTCTACACTCAAGCAGCCGAGAGTCCTTGCTATCAATAGGGTTTTTAGCACGAGATAAGATAACATTATGAGTGCAAGGACCTCCCTATATATATATATATGTATATATATATATATAGATATGTATATATATATATATAGATATGTATATATATATATAGATATCAGGCCAATTAACTGATACCTTGGATATTCCAAACTGATTAGGGTTTCGGTGTAGTCATCATAGATATTGAACTCTTGTCAAGTCTTGATAAGGTTACTTGAATATAATTGCATGTTATTAGGACTCTTAATCTTAGCCAAGTAGGATCGAAATTTCCTCAACATGATAACTCATACACTGAGCTATTAGTTTGTCGAGAACAAGAACTCATTCTTCCTGACACTCAAATCTTACATGTAGCGAACAGGTCTACAGCCCAGCCTAGCGTTTCTCAAGCGTCGGGCGCCCCTACAAATTGTGATCCAACCTACAGGAAGGTGATATACACCCTATCTAAATGATCTACTCTGTCAGGGGGTGGAAAAGCACTCGGTAGAGCTTGTCATATTCAACGAGGAAGATGGGTTCAGAGTTCTACAGGCTCATAACGATCCATTAGTCATCTCGGCTGAGACAACCAACTATGACGTCACTCAGGTTTTCGTCGACAACGAAAGCTCGGTGAATGTAATTTTTCTACGATGTTTGACCAATTGGAGGTCAACAGGGATCTTCTGTGTGGGCATGTGGTTTCCTTTATAGGGTTTGAGAATATTATGGTACACCCAATTGGGGAAATAAATCTCACGTTATCAATCGGGGTCCATCTTAGGAGGGCAAGTTTGACGACCATGTTCACGATGGTTGACTGCCCTTCCTCCTACAATGTGATATTGGGAAGTTTGTTCCTTACAGAAATGGACATGACAATCAACCAGAGGATGCTAGTGATGAAATTCTCGACCCTACAAGGGTGGGAATTGTTAGAGGTGATCAAGTGTCTATAGGGTATGTTCTGCCTCGGTGGTCAAAGTGAAGACTAAGGCCCAATTTGGTATTGCATTTTTATTTTTATTTTTATTTTTATTTTACTAAAAGTTACTTCAATTTAAAGTTACACAGTAAAAAAGTTGGTAAAAATAAAATATCCTACATATTTTAAAAGCAATGGTCTCCATATAGCAACTTTTAAAAGCAACCTACATGTTGATTTTTAAAGCTGCTTTGATAAAAAGTAAAGTTAAGCCCTTAATGACTATTTTTAATTATTGTAACACGCTCATTAATTTTGAAAAATATTATTTATCCTTCTAGACACATTTTATCCTTGGAGAACAAAATGATCACCTCCGCATACCACTACAAACTCTAACCTCTTACACCACATTGTCATTATCACAAACATTATTGCCGCCACCATCACACCACAATCACACACCACCATCACAACTATACCTGCCACAAGTAACACCACAACCATAATTGTCATTACCATCTTTGCCGCCACCGTCACCACTACAACCATAAACACAACTACCAACAATGCCACCACAACCACAACAATAACTGCCACCATCGCAGTTGCCGCCACCCATAACACCATTGTTACCTTTGTAGTCCAACCACAACATGCTTTTATTGGCACTACCATCACAACCATTACCCTTACCACTGTTAACGTCGTTACCGCCCACACTATCATGTCCATTTTTGTCGTTGTATACAATTATATCACTTTTACATTAAAATTTAGCAAACTCTTTTACACCGTTTTTCATGCTCACAACATTTTTAAAAATAGAGTTTACCAAACGGTCAACTGCTTTATTTTATAGCTAATTATTCTTAAAGCACAATATAAGCAGTTTAAAGAAAACAGCAATCCCAAACTGGCCATAATGTGACGACCTAGGAGTTCACGCAATGTTTGGAAGATCACTCGCACCAAACCCCAGCAGCTGTTGAACGGCCCGACCGCTCAACAGAGCATGAAGGTCACCCTAAAAGTATTACCCAAGAAGTGGGGGCGTGGTAGATTGTAAGAAAAGACCCAGTTTGAAGAACTTGCTCCGAGAATCAGGTAACACTCATCAACTAAACTCTACAAGTAAGATTTTTCCTTGGTCTGTTTACGGAGGATAACATTCGAGCAAGAGGGACGAGTCTTTAGAAGAAGATAACAAGAAAAAGAGTTCGCGATGACCACAATGTGGATTTGAGCGCTCAGAAATGAAGCATTTTAGATTGGGTAAGCAGAAAATGGGAAGTGTAATGGTACATGGAACGAAGCTTGTTGGCAAACTCCTGCCCGACCGGAGTTTAAAGGTGGTGGTTCATGTATTGACCACTAACTTCGGAGGATTCATCAAAGGAACTTTACAGGCTCTCATTCTCTTCCCTTAATGCTCGAGGGGCATCCTTAACCTTACCCAACTCCAAGATAACCTTGAGTTTGCTTGTGGCAGCTTCGCTCTACTGCTTAGCCAAATGCTTGGTCTTCAGTTGCAGCGGAATGGCCTCCTCCTTAGTGGCCTCTGCCGCTCTCTGGGGGACCAAGCTCCACTTCCTTGGCCTGGACATCATCCTACAACCTTCTCAAGTTCTGCTTATGGTCGGCGCACTTTTGCTTCTCCCTAAATAGGTGTCGGAGCCCTTGGAATTGGGCAAAAAAAGCCAGCAAAGGGAAAAACGATGAAAGTTAGCCAGGGAAAAAATGTTTTACATGCAGAAGGAAGAATATGAGATAGGAAGAAAATTTAACCCAGCTTGGAGATCGAAGGCAAAGGCCAACTGCTCCTGGGCGTTCCCCTCAACACCTCCAGCAGCGTTTACGATGTTATCCCAGCGAATGACTCCCTTGCAAATGTACATGAAGAAGTCAATCTCCTGGGGGAAGGTGTCCTAGAGCACGCAACTGTCACAACGGTCGAACCTGACCCCTCTAACCGTAGAGGGGCAGAAGCACTAATTGCCAACCTCTTAAGATAGAGGCATCCAAGTCACCGGTAATCAGGCGTATATGCAAAGATTTACCCGTGCCAGGACTTGAGGTACCCAGCACCACCCTTGGAGGCTGGCAACGTCTGCCAGGAGAAGTGCTCGACCCGCTGTTCCTAACACCCTGGCGGGCAGGCTGCTTCCAAATGCTACAGGAGAGCTCTCTTTCCCTTGGCTCTGTAGGCAATCAGTATAGCGGCAGTAGAAGTATCTTTGGAAGGCAAGGAAGTAATGACTACCAACTAAAGTTATTCTTCCTCGGAAAAAGATACTTGTCCAGACCAATCAACTGCAAAAGGGATTTTCAGGGAGTTAGAAAACTTAAACAGACCGCGAGATACAAAGACTCGTAAAATTAGAAAACAACAAAAAGTTAGTTTTGTTTCAATCTTTACCCACAAAGCACCTAGGGACCAAAGCACTAGTCGTTTCTACCTCAGATGAGGTCTCTTGTTGCTGCTTACAACGAACCAACTTTCCTTGTAGGGCCTTTGGTTTAAGGGGTTGTCGGCAAAGAGTAAGCAAGAGCTAAGCAAGTGATGGAAGCTATAGAACCCAACATGGTCATGGTTGTTCCTCAATTTATAGAAGTGTCGAATGAGGGTAAGGATAGGCTCAATCACATGCTAAGGAAGAAACAAAGGCGTTAGGATGATTTTGTAGAGAGCTAAATCCAGATGAACTATAATGCGATGAAGGAAGGGATGTAAAGGTAACCAAAAACCAGACTTGAAGATTTCGGCAGAGAAGGCCACTCAACCGTGTAACCGTCGGCTAGGTATTTCTCCTACGGTTGGTGACCAAATGATGACATTGTTGGGAATACTACATCGATTCCACAAGTCTTTCAGCTTCGGGTGGGTCATGATACAAAGCGTATGGTTGGTCCTATGATCCTAAGCGTAGTAATAATACGGGTCGGTAGAGACGCCGACTCGATATGCTTAAGAAAGGCCTCCATGCCTCTGCGACCATACCTGGGGGGCTGGTATCTATGGTGTTTAGGTGCGTCTAGTATTTCGTTTTTAATCTTGTTTTTTTAAATTAAAAAATGTTAGCCTGATGGATGTTTCGTCGTGCAAAATATTCAATATTTTTAAAATTTGGTTTCTTAGAGTTAACCTGACAACTATTTCGTCGAGTCAAGTTCATTACATTATTTAATTCTTTGCTAGCCTACTAGATATCCTCGTCGGGCAAGTTGATTTCATTGGGTCAATCTGGTCAACACATGTTCACTCGACAGATATTTCCGTCAGGATAACTGTCTTTTGCCTGACGGAATTGTGTTATTGTCGTTCAAGGTTTCGAGCTGTGGGTTTAGCCAAACTAATCTTTTCCGATGAACCTCCATCGGCTAAAGGCATCCATGACAAAACCAGTGTTTAGCCGATGAAAAATTATCTGTCTATCGAGGCATTTTTGTATTTTTTTTTTTTTTTTTTTTTTTTTTTTGTAGCGACAATGGGTCATAGAGACCCATCGAGTCATTCTTATTTTAGTTAAAGAAAGAACAGAAATGATGAAGTTATGAGGGGGAGACCATAAATAGATTGGTGTATAAAGTAAGATTTAAAAAATAATTTTAAGTTGTTTTTTGGCTTTCTATCTAGTTAAAAAAATTCTCAGATTTTGAGTTATGACATCTCCAAGCAACAAAGAGAGGGAGGAGTTACAACCATCTACAATATATACAGGTAGTGTATTGCTGGCAATGGCATTTGAATGAGAGGTAGAGAGTAAACTAGAAACAATTGCAACTGAAAAAATAACAACAATCTTGTACTATATAACATATACCAAGCAGCACAAGAATCTTCAAATTAAAAACAAAGAAATTAATCACCATGACATTGCCTAATCTACGAGCTCTTTTGGGTTCCTTGGCTGTCTTTCTTTTTGTGCTAGCTGACCATCTCCATGTGGTTGCTGCCAACCGCGGCCGGTTTGGAGTTCACCACCCCATAAAGCACCATAAGCCAAGGTTCACTGCTGGCCCTTGGAAGCAAGCTCATGCCACATTCTACGAAGGCGGCTCGGGAACGTTTGGCGGAGCTTGTGGTTACCACGACGTGGTTCAAGAAGGCTATGGCCTCGAGACAGTGGCTCTGAGCAATGCTTTGTTCAGCAATGGGCAGTCATGTGGTGCATGCTATGAAATCAAGTGTGTGGATGAGCCCCAATGGTGCAAGCCAGGGAACCCTATTCTCACTGTTACTGCAACCAACAATTGCCCACCAAATTGGAATCAGGCTAGTGACAATGGAGGATGGTGCAATCCGCCACGCGAGCATTTCGATATAGCCAAGCCTGTGTTCATCAACATTGCTGAGTACAAGGCGGGCATTATTCCAGTCACGTACCGCAGGTGATTAAATTCACATGCATGCATTAAATAGATTGAGTGTTTGATACATATAAATGGTTTTATTACGAATACTAATGTTGCAAGACTCGCAATCTAAACCTCACATTACTAACATATGGATTTCGATGGTAAATATTAAAAAGCATGATAACATAACATGTACGTATATTAATCGCATAACGAGAATACTTCCCGTTGTAAAAAAGATTTTAACGATTGCTAGGAACTGTTTTGTAGGGTTCCATGTCAGAAGAAAGGAGGCATGCGATTCACAATAACTGGGAACCCTTATTTCAATGAAGTGTTGGTATGGAACGTGGGAGGAGCTGGGGACATCATCAGCGTGCAGGTGAAGGGCTCCGACAAGCTCAAATGGACAGCAATGAGTCGGATGTGGGGTCAGCGGTGGGTTACTGGTGCCAAGATGGTCGGTGAGTCACTAACCTTCCGAGTTGAAGCAAGTGATAGAAGACACTCAACTTCGTGGCATGTTGCCCCAAAGACTTGGCAGTTTGGCCAGACTTTTGAAGGGAAGAACTTCCGATAGATCAAAAGCACATTATAAGCTTCGATGCTTCGTGCATGTTGAACTCCTCCACACCATATTATGTGAACTAGTTTGGCTTGTCCTTACAAATGTATATATACTGATCATGGAATTCTTGCCTGACCTTGTAATAATAATAGCAAGGCACTCGTATGTACCATACCACTTTTTCATAAATTGTCCTCTTTCAATATTTTTCTTGAGTACACTCACCCGCCTCTCATATTTCTTGACCCACCGTATATTCATTTGTCACAAACATTTTCACTAGTAGGTGTTGGTGGTAAAATAAGATTGATGATTGAATTTACATCACTCTTTTATCTTTTTATTTTTCCGATCAAACATGTCGTTGTTAGATCAGTTGAAAATTATTATTTCTCAATTTGGTTTTCTCGCATGCCTTTCTTCATTCATGGTTCAATATTTTAGTGTCCAAGGCGTAGAAGAACTACATCAATCCATCTTGATTCCTCACAATTGTTCTTTGTGATGCACTGGAACCATGGCAATTACACTACCAAAGAATACCATTTGCCGGCCCACATGAGGACCACAATGAATGTAACTCAATTTTGAGGGGTGAACCACTTAAATTTTTTAGTCCCCTTCATTCTAGTCCATGTCCCAAGCCCACCAAAGGGTTTAGTATTTTAATTTGTTAATTTGCAAATTTTGAGTGTTAAAAGTTTGGCGCTATCTATGAGAAACTCATGCAATTTGGTTGCATTTTTCACCCGACGATCTTAGGAACTTTCTGTGACCGAGGTCAACCGCGAGGGATGAGCAGTAAAAGAATGAGAGATAGGGTCTTTTAGGGCAGACCCGAGACGACCCTCCGAAGAGGACGACAAGAAGAGAGGGCCAGGCTCTCCGGCCTGGAGGAGAAGATGAATAACATACTTGCTGGTGTTGGAGAGGTGAATGAGGTAAGGAATCTCCTCCACGCCCAAAACAGCCTACTTAAGGAGAAGCATGACGACCTCCTGGAATAGATCAACCAGACAACCGAGAAGATCGGCAGCACGTCCCGAGTTGGGGCTACTCCTCATCCTCCCCCTCCCCCAAGCAACGTCGGGAGCAGAGGTGAGGATGCCCGCGAGGTCATCAACAAAAGGCTCCGAGCAAAGGAGAGTGCTCGAGGAATCAGGGAGCGAGCCGTCGAACAGGCTAACGAAGGGCATGATCGAAACCCCACCATACCGCCCTGACTTAAAGCAGCACCCAGAAGGAAGTCACTAGTGACGAAATGAAACTTAAAATATAGGTGATCAAATTAGTTCTCTTTTTCATAAAATATAACTAAATTCGTCGCTTTAACCATAGATGATTTTTCAGACACGTGAAGAGAGGCATCGCTGCACCAGGGTTAAGGAGGCGAGTGCTTTACTTCTGATTTCAGATGTTCTAAACCATTAGATTTAAGAAAACCAATGAAAATAACTTAAAAACTTTGAATTTTAACAATAAATACAAAATAAAGGATAAAATAAATAGTACTGAATTGATTTTTTAGTGTAAAAATATAATTTTTCGCTTAAAGTGAACAGTATCAGGAGCTTTTCGTTAAAGTTCCCATAGATTTATGGTAAATTTAAAATTGATTAACAAAAACGTAATTGGAACAGTGTTGGCATCAACCAGATAAAATGTTTAGTAAGATTTCCTCGGCTACCGTTAATAAACTACAACAAGAAGTCTGATTTAAAGTGGTTACCAAATTGGAGTCTCCCCTATCCTTTCCACTACAAGATTCCCAGCAGAACACCGAGCGATTTTCAGTGCCTTGAAAACTCTGGGATGAACCACCACCAGTGCAGTATGCAAACAACGAAACGTAAACAATTTGAGGAAACTTCTGCACTTGTCTTGATGAAACTGACAGTAGCATTGGGCATCCATGAGGCCCTTCCAGTCAGTGAAGAATACTTCAACACTAATACGCTTAGTGTGCATTAATCCCACAACACAAATTTCTCAAAACAGCCGGTTATCGTAGACTTAACTCATTTGTCGAACAATCTAACATGTACGTCACTTGGATTCTTGCTCTTTCTCCTCCTCTTTCTTCCATTTTCTTCTCTCGTATCTGTCCTTGCTTCTAGACTCTTAGAATGCTGCGCACGAATTTCCTGTAACTTTGATTTTGCATCTTGAAACAATCCACCTGATTTCAAAGCCCTCAGTTGCTGAAACATGAAGCCTAATGAGTAAAAGTATTTTCCTTAGACGACAAAACATATAGCCAGAAATTTAATGGCCGCACCTTAATATGCTCCATCGCTGCAATGTTGTAACCAATAGTATCTTTGCATTCCTGAGAGAGATTAAATCCTCATCATGTTAAACGCCAATCTTTAAATTGTAAAAGATTTTACGCAGAAACTACATAAAGGGGAACTTCTGTAGCATCCTTTTCTTTTATACACAATTAATTTCATGTAACTTTTGGATCAAGGCAGCAGTAGTAACAAATGTTATATTAACATAATAACAATTTTCTGTACGAATGTGCAACATTACGATTACCTTAACTCTTGGATAAATCTCTTCCAACTCTGACAACACAAGTCTGGCCGCCAGCGTACTAAGTAACTGATTATAATGTATCTGCACCAGGAATGTACAAACCCTGCAAACGAGTTCAATCTGCAAAAAAAAAAGTTGAAAAACGCTTTAAACACTAAAACTTTAAGATTTTTTCATTCCTTTATAACATTTCATGTCAGCCCTAAGGCAATAGCCGCCTACAAATTGTGTAAAATAAATAAATACAAGCATGCGTGCTGAATGCTTACAGTAATAAATACAAGCATGCATGCTAAATAATAAACACTTGAAAAAAACTGGGTTAAAAAGATAGATAAAGGCATGTGCAACAAATAAATATCAATGGATGCCAATGTTTTGAACAAGTGTAGAGACGCCAACCTTATCAGGATTGAAGTCCAGTCCTTCAAGAAAGACAAGAGCTTCAAAGCGTCTGAGAATGATAGAGCCTGCAAATAATGCAGTTCAAATTAGCTTCCTGATTTACATTGGAACTGAAATGGTGAAGTTACGACTACACCTTGACCATATAAAGATATCTAGTAAAATCCCAGGGAGAGAAGCTAAAATGGCTTCAGAAAACAAAAGATGCACAGTGCACTCTGACTTTTGAATCAGTTGATTTCATTGGAGTAGATTGCCAGCAGCTTTAATTGAGAATTTGAATATATACAAGTACGGTTGTACGAGCTTCTTCAGGCAAAGTGGACGGCACAAAAAAAAATATCCAAAAGGAAGCTAAACACAAGGACCTGATTCATTTTAGTAACACCACATTCCATTTACTGATTCAACAAAACTAAACCAAATATGCAGTTGAAGAAATACCAGCTAAACAAATAAGTCAAACTACTAAAATGTTGAGCTAGCAGTAAGGGACTTTCGTTTGTTTCAATGAGTAGCCATGTAAGGAAAACGACAAGCATACCAGTAGCGTCTGTTCCAAATCATTTGTCTGAACATTTGAAAGGGCACGAAGAACATAATCAGATGGAGAAAGCCCAAGCAAAACAACATTTGGTTGTAACTCAGCAACTTTCCCCTTGCTTTTCTCCTCCTGAAAGGCATGGTGAGAGAATTGAATTGAGATACCACGGAGATTTTGTTGCAGTGTTAAACTACAGATCAAACTAGTAGAGATTATAGAGCAAAAAACCAAACATACCTCATGTTCGGCGATTCGCTTCAATTCTACCTCTGCTATATCTAGTGCGTCAATAATTGAATCAGTAGCTGTAATTGTTTCTTTTGATTTCTTCCCTGCTAAGGCCACAGCTCCCTCTTCAGGAATTTCTTCCATGGGTGCATACTTGTTCTCAAATGCATTATCGAGGTCAGACTCAAACATCTCTTCCAACCTTTTCTCTTTCTCTTCCTGCAATTTCAAATGAAAATTTTAGTAAAGCAACAGGCATGTTATACAGAAGTCCCATTTTTATCCTAAAGCATCAGCATCACCAGAAGAGATAGGCAAACTACAGAATATAAAAAAGTAAAAACAAAAGTTCAAGTGTAAAGTCTCTTTCATCTTCACAAGAAGCAATTACCTCGATAAAAAAGGGCTCTTCAGTACGATCCCAACGACGTATTGATCGGTCATGAGATCCCGTAACAATGAAATCACCACGGTTACTAATTCCAAGGCACCAAACATCAGCATGGTGTCCCTCAAGAGTTAAAAGCAACTCAAATTTATCAGCATCCCAGTATTTGACTTGGCGATCTTTCCCGACACTAAACATGTAATGTGTATTTCGTACAAATTGCACCGCCATGACACTGCATCATCGAACAATTCACTAAAATTGCCAACGAACTTCAGACATCAAAATTTATGTTTGTTCATACAAAAACTATACCTGTCAGCATGAGCGAATATGGATTTATGACAATCACCAAAATCTAAACCCCAAATCTTCAAATTTTTGTCAGCAGATCCAGTCACTAATAGATCGCCATCAGATGATAAATCCATACATAGAACAGGCAGCTTGTGACCATATAAGGAAAGGAAAGGTTTCAATGTATCCATATAGTAAACCTAAGAATAGGAAGCATAAATGCATTAGTTAACAACAGGCACTAAGTAATGCAGATGTTACCAACTGAGAGATAACACAACCCTCAGAAAAAAAAACCTTTTGGGAACAACAATTAATATTAAGGGGAACAACAATAAATCTTCAGGATACAAAATGTTTTCTCCAAACCCTATAATTTGATCAAAACTAATCCTGAGCATTTCATACTAGAAGTTTTCGTCAAAGATAGTTTATAGACATCATGATCGATTTAATCAATCTAATATCCGTATCCTCACTATTTTAGTTTCAGATGCTATGCTACTGATCTTTACATAATTAATCAAGGATTTCATGCATGAAAAGAGAGGTACTACTTCTGAAAACGTAGATACAGAATATAGATGCTAAGCAAAAGTCAAACTAAATAATGACACCTATTCACATGTACAACATTTCTTAGAGTTGAATTTCAAAACTAAATATTCTGTTGGATTACAATCTACGAAGAATCTAACATAAGAAACAACTGAAACCAAATGAAGACATAATGAAAATTAAGTGGGCAAGATAAGTCAATTTGACCTTCACTGTGCAGTCCAACAGAGCAACCAAAACATATTTTGCATCAGGGCTAACAGCAACCACGAGGACATCATCATTCATCTTCATAGTCCTTACATTTGACACCGTTAGGTGCTTAGAGTCCTGTTCAAACATAGTGAATCCAGAAATTAAGATTTTTAATGAGAAAAAAAAAAAAAAGAAAAAAAAGCATACTGATAATACTACAAGATTAGAACTGTATCATGCTCCAGAACTAAGTAGTGTATCCCAAAAGAAAAAAGCATGCTGATAATACTAAAAGATTAGAACTGCAAGTAGAAAGAAGGTATATATTACATACTTGGGGAGACTTTTGTTTAACTTGGTATTCCCAAAACTTCACATCGTGATCTGCACTTCCTGTGACAAAACCATTTTCATTAGGAATGGCTGCAATGGAGCCAACAGTGCCACCATGAGCTTCCACTACTTCAATGCAAGTGCCACTTCCAATGTCAATAATTTCCACTGTTCCGCCTTTAGTTCCGACAAGTGCATACTTGCTATTAGGAACGATAAAACCACACATGCCATATCCAGAATCAATAGTTCGAAGGCAGGAACCAGTACTTGGATTCCAAATCTTTACCGCATTGTGACTAGTTGACATCAAGAGCGTGTTGTCTGAGCTAAGTGTAACACTTCTGACATCAGACCGGTGTCCTTGGAGCTCTATAGCATGTGTTTTTGTTGTTGCTTTGCTTTCAATCGAATAAAATTCCAATGAATTATTGTTCAAAGACAAAGCTATTGTAGCTAGCAAACTCTTTGGAGTGTTAGGACAGAAAGAGATGGAGCATATCTTTTTGCTAGCTCGAATAGTTTGAAGAAGCTTGAAGACATCAGGAACCGTAGCCACAGGACTATTTCCATCTTCTCCAGCTCCGTGATTTGTGTCGCCATTTTCCATCACCTCAGTTGCCCCTTTTGCAGATTTTTTTTCTTTCTTCCGGTGAAGCCTACGTTTTGCCTTACGCTTTGATTCAGCCTCATCTAGTACCTGGAATACATCTACTGTCTTACCTGCCACTTGACAAGCCAACAAATTACCAGACTTGTTGAATCTCACAGTTGCAACTCTATCCTTGCTTTGTCGCTGAACTTCACCAAACAGTTTCAAAACTTCCCATTTATTTTTGGTCGATGACTCTCCATCATTCACAATTTTATTTTCACCTATATTAGAAATGGATTCCTCATGTATCACTTCATGCTTAATTGTGTAAAACCTAAGTTCTGGATCCGAAGACCCAGTGACCAAATATCTTTCTTCTGCATCACTGTCTATGGACCAAATTTCACTATGGTGGCCACTAATTGTCTGCATGCAGTGCTGGGTATCAAGATCCCATACCCTCAAAAATTTATCTTTTGAGGAACTGACGAGTTTTTTACCAGAATCCAGGAAAAGGAGGTCAGTCACCTACATTACATGAATGAAACAGACTAAATAAATTATAGCACTGTAGTGTCAAACTCAGAAATGATGTAAGTAAGATCAACAAGCAAAGCCCATCACTCGTTCCAGTAAATCCAAAATTTATAGGTTTAATTTGGAAAACTGTAATACAAACCTGATCTCGATGGCCACGGAGGCGATATAGGCCGGTCTCACCAACCACATCCCATAATATAATGTCATTATCTTTTCCTCCAGATGCAAGCATAGATCCAAGCTTGTTGTAGCGTAAAGCGGTGACAGCTCCTTTATGTCCATTCAATGTGGTCTCGCAGGTTCCTTTGTCAGAATCCCAAATTCTTATATTACCATCAGCATACCCACTAGGCTACCTGCAGTCAGAACTAGTTACACCTTTTATATCCACCATACCTAACTTTTTAGAACTCTAATCATATATCTTTTGTTAATACATTCAAATTCCATTGGGACTTTTTTCTTCATTTAATTGTAGTTTCCTATCAAACGTTTACTGAGATTGACAATTTGACATTAACCCAATACAGTTACACAATTGGTAAATAAATAAATGAATAATTTGAGGTACTCAGTTTCAATTTTGTTGGAGGAGGTTGTGCGTTTTGTCAAATCTAATAGACAAACATTTGTTGATTAAACCAAAATAATTAGTCAGAAAATTAACATCGTGACAATGTTGTTGCTTATTGATCCAAGTTTATATTATTTCAAAAAACCCAATGAGAAGGTACAAGTGATACAAATATTACAAGGTCCCTCCAAAACTTTAAATTGAGACCCACAAAAAAGAAAGATTGTAGTTGGCATCTTGAAAAGACAACGGGGGCTAAGCATGGAGACAAAGTTTCTACTCACAGCTTGAGAGTTGAGATGGCTTTGCAGACTTTATATGAGATCATAACAGAATACAGACATAGTTGGCATCTTGATATTAGACACGCTCTATAGTCTATACGTGCTTTCGTGCTTTTTCTTGGATTTTATTATTGAAAGTGATGAGACTGAGGGATCAAAGAGAAGGGTACTTTGAATCATGCCCTGCTGTTTCTGTTATGAAGTAAGAAGGGGGCTACCACTCCCACCATGACCAATTGACTCCTCCTTATGTGAAACAAAGCCTTTGATCGAGGAATGCAGGATTTAATCTCTAAATACTAATTTATCATCAAGTGGACTAAATTCAACTAAAACTACATCCTCTGCTTACTTGAGCCAACTTACACATAGCAACTCAGTTCGAAAGCTTACCAGACAAGTATGTGAGGATGCGATGGAGGTGACAGATAGAGAGTGTCCCCGCGACGCAGCAGCAGGGATTAGTGTTCTGGTACAAACGCCTTGCCGTACATGCCACACACCTACCTTCTCCAAGGCCGGAGCAAGAAGGTGCTTCCCGGAGCTGCTGTATGTGATGTTGGAATCGACGGAGACAATGACACCGAAAGCCACCGCCTGCTCATACCGCAGGTACGACTTCACCATGGCTAATTCTGCATACCGAAGAGTAATTGAAGCAGCAGATAAGCGCTTACTGAAAAGTAATTTCTAAGACATTGGATACAAACATCAAAAGCCAAAAGCCAAAAATTGAATAAATATCAACTTTAAGATTTCACCGACATCAATTCTATAATTTGATTAAACACAATTCCAGAAAAATAAACAATTTGAGCCACTGAAAACCTGAAACTTTATCGATTTTGGAAAAGTCGAAAAGAAATCGTGGGCAATTTGGGTTAAAAGCTAAATACCTCTGGTTCTCCGAAGATCCGGACTGAAACTATGGCCACTGGCGCGCCGGCGGAGAGAGACGAAGAAAGGGAGGGACTACAGAGAGGAGTGTTTTCTGTTGTCGAGGATTAGGAAGGAAGGTGAGCGGGAGGAAGAAGGGTTTAGGGTTTTTATGTTTGCAATTACCTTAATACCCTATCCTTTTTAAATTTATTAAAATTGCCAAGAGTTAAAATGGATTTTGATTTTATTTGGGATTACGGTCTAATAGTATTTTATTTTACTGGTAAGTGAGAGATTTTAGATTCGATTATTGCCAAAAACGAATTTGAACTATATTATTGTTAACCCAATGTGAGGCTTAGCCTATTTCCTCACCACTTAGCATAAATATTATCGTTTGTTCAAATAAAAAAAAAAAAAAAAGGTTTTGATAGTAAGTTCAGTCATTTTAAAAGTATTTTCATTTAAAAGTATGTTCAAACAAGTTTTTAATATTTTTTTTTTCACTCTTCCGTATGAAGAAAAAAAAAACCTCTCTTTCCCTCTCCTATTTTTGCTTCTTTTTCATTAGATGGCCATTTTAGTTGGTTTACCGACCAACCCAATGAAAATGAGTTGAAATCTAAAGTTTAGAAATTTATTTTCGAGTTGAAGCTCAACCATTCATTCAATAAGTGGGTTGTGTTGGGTTAAAGTATTGTTAACCCAATTAAAACTGACCATCCAAATCTCAACAATTCATAAATACACACATATTAGATAGCCATAAACATTAACTTAAATAATTATTAAAGACATTTGTTTATTAATAGTTTATAAAATATGAAATTTAAATATTCGTAAGATATAGTGATTCTACCACACTAAATTCATAGGATTTAAGTCAATATGACATGATTTTGAATATTTACCACTCATACTCATATTAGGAATTACAAAAAGAACATAGATTATAACTTTCTCTGTCTCTCACCCCTTCTCTCTCCCCGACTCTCCCTTTCAAAACCAAACCCTGTGTTTTCGGCAATCTCAGCCACCGGCCCCTTGCTCCACCTATCCTAACCCTATGCCAACCCCTCCACCTTTGTTATTCCCTCCACTCCCTCCCCGTTCCCCGCGCCGCCTATTCCCTCACGTCTCCCTTACCCTCTCTTAGCTTCTATAGCACCTCTTCTCCTTCACCCTCCCCCCCTCCTCGGTAGTTATTTCCCACCATTTTGTGAGTAGCTCGTCCATGGCTTTGAGCCTCTACCTATAGTCGAGCCATACCCATTTCAAGGTCTCTTCCTTGATTTTGGGCTAGAATCGTGGTTAAGGTAGGTTTTGTGGTTGGTGGTGGGTTGATTCCACTTCCATCAAATTGTTTCCATGGTGGTGACCTCTCCTCAACCAATTTGGTGGCTAGGCTTGCATGCTCAGATCCGGATGACCTGCCACCTTGGGCTTTCAAATTTGCCTTTTGCAACCACATCAAATGACTCTGCCCCTTGTGAACTAATCTACTCATGGTTGCAGCAGTGCTCATTAGTGCGGTGAAAGTGTCGTCTTGGTTAGTGTTTTAATCGCTAAGATGAGCTGATTGGTGATCCCTTTCTCGGGGTAGTGTGTAGTTGATTTGGTTGCTTCGCACTGTGAGTGTTGTATTAGGTTATCAAACACAAAGCTTACTATTGAACTAGGTTATATCTAACGAACCGAAAAAGGGTTATTATACAAAATGGTCCCTGAGATTTGCATGATCAATAGAAATGGTCCCTGAGATTGTCCACCATCCATGATTTTGGTCATTCTGTTAAAAAACTCTTTGGGCAATTTTCAAAGCTTCGTAACTCATCAATTCTTAACCAAATTCGACCCATAATATATCAAAATGAAGATAAGAAAGTGTAGAACAAGATTATACCTATTTGGAAGCCCAATAATTGCTGGAGATGGCCAGAAAATAGCCTGAAAGATGACTAATCCGCGGGAAAACCGAAAAACTCTCCGAAAACTGGGTAAACTTTAAACATTCATAACTTCTTCAATACTCAACGAAATTGAGTGATTCAAAGACGAAAATCACACTTCTCAACGAGATGAAGAGAATGGTATCTTTCTTTACTGCTAACTTGCCGTGGTTTGACCGGAAAACTGCTCGAAAGTGGCTAACTCGAAAATTGTTAACACTTTCGAGCCGTTGTTCGAGCAAACCAAGGCGATTTAGCCTTCGAAAAAGGTACCATTCTCTTCGTCTCATCAAGAAGTATTATTTTCGTTTTTGAATCACTTGATTTGGTTGAGTATTGAAGAAGTTATGAACGTTTAAAGTTTACCCAGTTTCTAGCTAGTTTTTCAGTTTTCCCGCGGATCAGTCATCTTTCAGGCTATTTTCTAGCCATCTCCGACAACCATTGGCCTTCCAAATAGGTATAATCTTATTCTACTACTTTCCTATCTTCATTTTGATATATTATGGGTTGAATTTGGTTAAGAAACGATTAAATTACAAAGTTTTGAAAATTGCCCAAAATCGTTTTTAACGGAATGACCAAAATCATGGATGGTGAACAATCTCAAGGACCATTTCTATTGATTTTCAATCTCAGGGATCATTTCTATTAATCATGCAAATCTCAGGGACTATTTTGTATAATAACCCAACCGAAAAATATGGAGTCAAATATTTGAATTTAGTTTAACTCAATATCTATTTAATGCATGTAAAAAGCTTAGGGTTTGGGGTTTAGGAGATACAAAAGTTAAAATTTGTGTTTTTGAAGTTAAATGTCAAATTTAACTGTATATGCATTGAGCCATTGATTACTACACTCTACTAGCATTCTTTTTTATTTGTAAGCGAAAGGTCTTAGGTCGATTCTTACTAAAGGCTGAGACTACCCCTCGCCCTTGATGTAAATAATAATGTATGTTCAAAGAAAGAAATAAAGAACCAAAAAAAAAAAGGGCCACTCTATATGCATTGTAGATAACTTGCATTTACCAATTTGCCACATTTGAAGTGAAATATAACTTTAGAACTCTTAACTTTTTATTCTACATAATTTAGGCTTACTATAAGGAATATTATTAATAGAAGCTTAATAAACTTTTGGATTACCTAAAACAATTTGTATCTACCAGTTAAAGAATAGTCCAAATGTTTTCTAACAATGAATTCTACATATAAAACGTTTGCAAATCATAACAACAAGTGGATAGAAAGTTACCAAAAACAGGAAAAAAAGGAATTTTTAGTCCCCATAGAAATTTATTGGGTTGCTACATTTTACACCATAAGGTTTGAAGTCATTTGTAAAATGAGTCACGAGATTTTAATTTTTGCATTTTACACCACATGGTTCTGATTTACACTATTTAATGTATGCGTCGATTTCACCGTCTAATTAGACGTTAAGTAGTGATGTGGCATAGACTTTGTCACATTTTAAGCTACTCGTTGACCGTCAATTTCAATATTTAGTACTTTACTCTTTTAATCCTTTTAAGAAATTGACGGTCAATGAGTGCTTAAAATGTGGGCTAAGTTTATGCCGCATCACCACTTAACATCTAACTAAATGATGAAATTGACGAAGACGTTAAATTGATGCAATTCAGAAATCACATGGTGTAAAATGCAAAAATTAAAATGTCATGGTTTATTTTGCAAATAATCCCCAAACTTGTGATATAAAATGCACTTAAACCCAAAAATTATTTTTGCTCAAAGAAGAATTGGACAAAGCCGGAAAGAAGGCCCAAAGATCGAACTATGAATCTGAAACTTAAAGCCCATCAAAGATGGGAGGTTGGTCCATACGCCACTGTGCCAAATCCCATCTACCAATCTCATGAATCCATGACTATGATTGGAAAGCTAACGGTTCCGAGTATAATATTTACCTAATAAAAGTACATTAATTATAAGTTTGTAACCTCTGATTAAGCCATTTGGATACTCCACCACAAATGGAAGAACAAACAATTCCGACCATATTTATATAGTGAAAACACGTTAATTATAATTTGGTGAATCCATTTGGATACTCCACAACAAATGTTGCCCTTGCCCTAAAGTGGCTCTAATGCAACATGTAGACTTCTCAATGGTTATACAGTTAACCGCGGCAAGTGGTCTGGTGAAATTGTTATAGAGTTTCAAGTCAGGTGTACTCTTTTATCTTTTGTTCGAGGTATGAAACTGACAAAAACACGGGTAATGCTCTAGTTGAAGGCTTCAAGCTTCTCTGAAGATTAGTCCTACTTTTTGCGATGTGGGATACCTTAGGCTTGGGAAAAAAAAAGTTCATATAATTTACAGATCATTAGAACGATTCAAACAAAAGACACTTAAACCCATCTTCTATAATTTAATAGTATAATTTGCATGCATGCCTGTGCATCTATATAAAAGTAGCGATCGATAAATATTAAGTAATTGAGTTAATTGACTATTCTTCTGACTAAGTAATTGATTTATGGAAGATACAACGTCTTAATCATCCTTATCATATTGGTGAAGTTCTAAATGGCTTCTCCACTCAAATGGGCATGAACCAATCTCCTGAAGCTATCGCGGGCGCATATACTCTAGCAATTAACAGAATAATCAGGTTTTGTCGATGTAAATTTTCACCGTCTTCAATCTGAATGAAAATGTATCTGCAAAACAATCAACACCTTTGATAAAAGACTTAAGGCTCACACACCCACAAGGTCTGGTGGGCCAATGGATCTCCGATGCCTAAGTCAGTTTCTCTGGAGAG